CTCAGCCTACTCATGGCTAACATTGGTGATGAAATAACTGCTTTAATCACATTAATCCTGTGTCAGAATGTGCCGCCTAAAAATGTGATGCTGCATTGTGCCCGTCTCTCCATGCATTATTTATGCATGAAGTCGACCAAAACCGGTTTCTCACCGCTGACCACGGCAGCATAATGGAAATAACGTCATAGTTGCTGCTCACATAGCCTTGAGTTGTTTGCTGCATTTTGAGAGGATGGTGTCAAAATAGCGTCGCTGAACAAAACACTGCATGAATTTAGAGCTTTGTGATCGCAGAGCAGCTGGTCGTTATTGGTGTATTTATGTCATACGCGCCCACCTCCCAGTCCGGACCGCACTCAATGACAACATATCTCGTTGACTGAAATGCAGGGGTACTGCGCAAGCACCCGTAGCACGTTTTCGTTCAAATTCCGGAGGGTGTCGGCTTCCACGTGTTCTGACCGTCATAACGCTTGTACGTTACAAGCCCGACTACTTTTACTCCCGTGGCTCGCTGTCGCGCGCCTCCAGATGAGCTTTACACAGCTGGCTGGGACGGCTCGGCGCATACAGGTGAGGAACACACGAGATCACGACACCAGTATGCATGTCAATAATGTGGATGGTCGGTATCAACAGAACCAGTGTTCATGGGACGTATGGACGGCTGCTGTACAGCGAAAAGCCCACAGGTGCCTCGGAAATCATTCCGGTCAAGGTCGCGCGTTGGTGATCAGAGGCAGGTGGGATTCTGAGGCCGCGGTCACTGCCTTCTGCGACTCAGGTCAGCTATCGGATCACGGAATGCTTGAGCATTACACACAAAACTGCTCCTATCAGAACGATGTGCATGCCCATGCAAATTCTTCTGAATACAATTGCGTCTCGTCTCCATAAATCATAACAACGATCGGGACGAAGCGCGCTGAATAGCATCAGCGGCGGACGCTGCGGCCCGCTCTCCCGCAGCAGGCCCGTCCCAGAGAGGCACACGACCACGCCAGAGCCGCGGCGGACGCTGTTGCGAGAGCGAGCCGAACGCACCTCACCCCGTCCGCGCGGGCGGCGCGTGGGCGGCCGCGCAGCCTGCGCCGCCGGCAACTTACGCTTGTCGTTGTCGGTGAATGGGGACACGGCGGCCTTGTACCGCCGGTACCGGTACATGGCGCCGCTGAGCGCTGGTACCGCCGAGTGTGAGCGCGGCCCAGCTCGTCACGCCATCAGCGGCGCTGCCGCAGCGTCGCGGTGCGCCCACACTCGGCTCCGGCCGGCACCGGGAGCGTCTGCACACAGGCGCCGGTGGCCGCGCGCTGGGACGGGCCGGGCCACATGGCCGCCGCCGGCGCGCCTGCACCGGGGCCCGGGAACTGGTTCCAGTCCCCTCCCCCGATCGCCCTCGCACTCGGGCAGGAATACCAAT